TGTGTGTGTTGTGTGTGTGTGTGTGTGTGTGTGTGTGTGTGTGTGTGTGTGTGTGTGCGTGCGTGCGTGCGTGCGTGCGTGCGTGCGTGCGTGCGTGCGTGCGCGTGCGTGCTTGCGTGCGTGCGTGCGTGTTGCGTGTGTGTGTGTTTGTGGGAGCGAGAGACAGACAGACAGACAGACCGACCGACAGACAGACAGACAGACAGACAGACAGACAGACAGACAGACAGACAGACAAAGAAAGAAAAATCAGTGTATGACAAAAGCAAAATCAGGACAAAGCCTGGTTAAAAAAAGTCCCGTCAAGTGTGTTGTGAAGAAGTGTCCGTGTGGTTTCGCAAAGGCTGAGGAAGAACTTACTCGTTTCATAACTTATTATGGAGCACACAGAAGCACGCACTATATCTGATGTATAACTTTTTATTCGCTTTTGCTTTTTGCCAATTAGACCAGAGGAATTAGCGCGATGAAAAAATCTGCATTGCCTCCCTTGTGCTCAAGCAAATATTTCACACATAGGTACTACAGTAGATGCAATATTTCAAAGCATGGTGTTAGTTAGGTGCAAGTTATATACCGAACAATATGAATGTAAGAGATTAAAAAAAAAATTGGATATACATGAAGAATATGTTATAAGTCGAGTCATGTAAGAAGGAATCAGTATTATTTTGTGCATTTTTTAAAAGAATACATATATTTTATTTTAAAACTATTGTTTGATCCTTATTAGAGGTGCTTTAAGCTCCAGTTTTAGCCATGAAATTATAAGAAAGACAGATCTTTCGTTTAATTACATAAACATAGACCTACACACAGATACGCATTTACGTAACATACACTTCCCCTTATACATATGTAAACTTTTTTTTGTTTTAGATTCTCAGTTTGGTACGTCATATAGATACAGCTAAGAACTATAGTTAAAATTTCATCATTTTGTTTGCTTGCGAGCTTTAGAAAAATCTTACATTCATATTAATTGAATAATGTACTGTATACTGCCTCTCCCATTAATAGCATGTCCCTGTTATGTGTCACTTTCCAACCCATATGATGCAACAGATGCTTTATTTTCAATTGCAAATCCTTGTTAAGTTGCCTCCGTGGAAGTAATGTCATTCTCACTATTTTATTTAATGTGTTGCGTATACAAACTGCAATATTTTCAAATGGATGTTCAGTTGTGCACAGGTGCAAACATTTATCATGGTCTTGTATACTTGTGTGCAGTAGCTTTGTTTGTGTATTACTTATTATGTATATGAAATATTTTGCTCATGTTTCAATAAAGGAATCATGTTTCTTTTAAGGAATATATGGCCCCTTTTCTTATCACGCGCTCTCGTCAGCCGTAGATGGCTACATATAAAGAGGTAGAGGTGTCCCATGTAATATGTTGGCTAGCACCAAAATGATGTGTGCGTGTGCATGTGCGCGTGTGTGTATGTGCCTATATATATATATATATATATATATATATATATATATATATATGTATATATGCATATATATGTATATCTATGTGTATTTATATATATATATATGTATGTGTATACATATATGTGAGGCGGGCTGTGGGTCCCGTGGAGAGGTCGGCTGCTAGGGCTCAGGCTGGGAACGTGTTACTCGTCCTACCTGCGCTCTGCAACCGCCACCCCAATGTGAGGCCTGTGAGGCAAAGCCCTTAGGGACTCCACAGGCGGACGATGGGCCCCACAGCCTCCCTTTTATATGGGGCAACGTCGGTAGGGTAAGCAGAGGTGGCGTCTGTCTGGAGCAATGGGCTGTTTGGGTGGGAGCTTGGAACATCCGGTCTTTACGGAAGGATGAGAGATTACCTCTGCTATCGAGGGAACTGAAGTGGCTAGGAGTGGAGGTGGCTGCCCTCTCGGAGGTGAAGAGACCTGGCAGCGGCATGATCAGTATGGGTGGGTAACCATTACTGGTCGGATTGGGACGAGGGTCATCTCCAGGGAGTAGCCATAGCCATCTCCAACCGACCTTAAACCTTCGGTAGTAGAGGTATCTCCAGTTAATGAG